CCGCGGAGGGGCGGGCCACAGGGCACTGGGGAGGGGGCCCCCCTGGGGGAGGGGAGCCCCCCCGGGGGGCGGGGGCCGAGGGCCGACTCAGGGCAGGCGCCCGCAGAAGGCAGAGGCCCACTGGGCGGGCGCTGCCTCCCGGGGACAGGTATAGCGCTGGGTAAAGTAGGGAGAGCCCTGGGGTGCAACTCCCTACCCCCGCCCACTGGAGTGTGGCGGAGCCTGGTGCTTTTCCTGTGAAAGCGAAGTCTGTGTGGGGGGAGGGGCTCTGCAGCGAGACAGACGCCTGACAAACCCTCCACCCGGCGCTCAAGGTCATCTGGGTTGACAGTATATGCCCTGGGTAGAATGTGATGAGAAGCCCGCGTCACCTCTGTGGACTTCCTCCCAGCCGCCTGTGACCCGACCCCTACCTCTACCCATGAAAAAAACACCAGAAAATTCCAGAAGAGGGAGGTCCCGCAAATTAACTGCCAGCACTCCTTAAAACTGTCAAGGTCATCAGAAGCAAAGAAAGTCTGAAAAACTGACGGCCAAGAGGAGCCTTAGGACACAGGATGACTAAACGTCCCTGAGACATGAGAGAAAAATGAAGGAAGTCTTATCCGTTTAGTTAATGATAATGGATCAGTATCGGTTCATTAGTTGTAAAAAATGCACCAAACTAATGCAAGACGTTCCTAATGGGAAACCGTGCGGGTTCTTGGGAACTCTGGGCTGGCTTTGTGAATTTTCTGTAAATATGAAGCTGTTCTAAAATAGTTCTCTTCTGTAATACGATATTATTAACTATAGTCGCCATGGTCCATCGCACCCCAGGGCTTGTTTTTGGACCCCCTGCACCAGTCCCGCCCAGCCCCGCCCTGCCTCTGGCAAGCACCTATCTGTTCGTTCTATCTGTGAGTTTGGGAGTGTTCGTTTTTGTTTTTCAGAGTCCACATATAAGTGAGATCATACGGTATTTGTTTTTATCCGTCCGACTCATTTCTCTTAGCGTAATACGCTCTAGGTTCTTCCGCGTTGCAGCAAATCGCAATATTGTTTCTTCCTTTATGACCGAGTAACACTCCCTTGTGCATATGTGCCCCGCCCTCTTTATCCCGTCTGTTGATTGGCACTTAGGTTGCGTCCAGGCCTTGGCTATTGTAAGGTCAGCGTAGGAGGGATATATTTTCTCCAGTTCCTGTTTTCTTTGGACAGATATCCAGAGGCGACTCGCGGGTCGTGTGGCAGCTCCATGTTTAAGTTTTTGAGGACCCTCCGTACGGCCGTCCATCGCGGCTGCGCCCGTTAACAATCCCGCCGCCAGCGCCGGAGGCTCCTTCTCCTCGACCTCGCGGGCTCTCGCCCTCCGTTGCCTTCTCGATGATGGCCATTCGGACAGGCGTGCGGTGACATCTCGCGGTTCCGATGGCACGTCCCTGATGACGGTGACGAGCATCTTTTCATGTACCCGTTGGCCCTCTGCGTGTCCTCTTTGGCAAAAATTCTATTCAAATCTGCCCACTTTTAAAATGGATTGTTCGGTTCTTTGCAACCGAGTTGTATGAGATTTTTATATATTTCGGATATTAGCGTCTTATCAGATATGATTC